AGGAGCCTGTTGCTGCGGCTTCGCTCCCACCCCGCGGTGCCCGCCCCGGCTTTGCTTTCCTGGGAGGTGACACCGGGATGTCTGCACTTAACGTGCTGAGCGGCCCGGGCGTTCTGCGGGGCCAGATGGCCCGCGGGAGGCTGAGCCTGGATCCCTGCTCGGGGGGAGCGGAGCGGCCGCGCTTCCCCCCTCCCTGCGCGCAGCTGCCGCGGGGGGAAGTGCGGAGCTATTTTTATTGAGGCGGTGGAGATGGCTGGTGGCAAAATGATGAATGTTCGGCATCGCGGCTTCTAGGGCGCTACATGTTTGGCAGATATTTTTGCTGGACTCCTGAGCCTCTTAGGACAATATTTAGCCTTTTTTTTTTTTAATTAATTAAATTGCTGTGTGAAACAGTAACTCGGGATTAGTAAATCAATCTGTTTATCACTAGGAAAACACTCACCTTAAAAATCTCTAAAGCAGCCTTAGGACTAATAGTGTGTTCTTAAATTATAATTCATATGGTTTAAAAGAGATGCTGGAATAGAAAGAGCATTGGTATTTTCTGGTTAATGAGCAGGTCTGTCATATTGCCTGTTGCTTTTCACTCGAGAGGTTGTTGCATTGGGGGTGCATGCACAGCTTCTTTGTTTCCAACGCCTAAAACCCTGCAATTAAAAGAATGCCTAACGATAGTGGGAACGAGCTGGAAAGCTAAGTCTCCTACAGTTCTTTGTCTTTAAATTCTTCTTTTCTCCCCAGATCTGGCAGTCTGCTCTAAGCACCCTGAACCCAAACCCCACGGACAGCTGCCCCCTCTACCTGAATTACGCCACTGTGGCCGCTTTGCCTTCCAGGGTCAGCCGGCACAACAGCCCCTCTGCAGCCCAGTTCATCACCCGCCTGGTTAGAAACTGCCTTCCAGGAGGTGTCAACAGATGTATTGTTGTAAGTGGCTGCTTGAAAACGCTTCTGGTGAATTGTCTTGTCAAGTATTTTCTCGGCTTTTTCAGGATTTTATCTGTATCCAAGGAGACTGGAGGTGGGCAAGTTGTGCTGATATAATTACACTGACATTTACAAGTGGTTTTGCACTGAGGCGTAAACAAGACTCAGCTATGACAGCTTATGCATGCCCAAGCAGTTGGAGGGAATTCAGGTTGGGTGTGTGTATGGAATGTCTTCAGCTAGGAAGGACCATACAAAGGGAATGACAAGTGGCTTTTTTTCAAGCTAGGATTTATGACATTAGCAGATGCTTCAGGAGGTGGATGTAGCTGCATGCAGGGTGCCCTGCCTATGTTGTATAAGCCATTTAAGGTGCCTTGTCTGTGTTATTCAGTGAGTTTTAAATGTCATATTGCTCCAGTGTGAGTCCTTTACAGGACAAGCTCTTGGACTGCTTTGGTCATCTTCTGTCTGAGCCTGATGAATTTGTTATTTGTTTCTATGGCTTCTCCAAATTAATTCATATTCCAGGTTATTAGAGAAGACTCATATAGTCACTGTCAGTAATGTAGTTATGTTCTTGGAAAAATTATTTGCAAGAGTAATAACTCTACTTAATTTATTTCCCTTTTAGTTAATTGGGAAAATGTTTAGCTAAAACTGCTTTCCATTGGTAATTTCTGTAATGAACTTCAGAAAAAATATTCTACATGTTAAAAAGTATTTGTGTTAACATCAGCCACATTTTCGTATAATTTCTCTTTGTTTCATTTTGTTGTGAACACTTACTGATGGTTCCCATGCATTTTTTTGGTCTTGATCTGTAGACTAACCTGTGTTAATTGTGCTAGCATAATTAAAGTAGTCCAGCTTCCTTATAAGGATGTACTAATTCCCACAAAGTCAAGTCCAGCAGTGTAATTCATTTCCATATGGGAAGTTAACTGAGCCAGTTCAGACTGATACTGTTTCTACTTCCCCAGCCACACAAAACATGAGGTAGGGGTACGTCTGGATCCAGACATCATTTATTCCCCCTTCACTCATTATAGCACAGGTAACATCACAGATCCTTTTAGGTGTAGCCTTCCTCATCCCTGACGTTGCCTGACTGGCTTGTCCCCTGGCTGCTGTTGCAGATGGTCTGTGAGCAATCCGAGGTCTTCGCTTCAGCCTGTGCCCTGGCCAGGGCTTTCCCCCTCTTCACACACCGATCTAGCGCCTCCAGGCGCACCGAGAAGAAAACTGTCACCGTAGAGTTCTTCCTGGTTGGACAGAACAATGGACCAATAGAAGTGGCAACACTTAAAGTAAGATTTTTGGGGTTTCTGTTGTCAGTTGTTTCCATTATTCCCCGAAATGAGAGCACAAAGGAAATGTCCCTTACTCATGTTTATAATAGATGTAAATAGTGTATTTTTAGCCTCTAATGTTATGTGGCCTTCTGCATATGGGCTTCTCACTTTCTTTTACCCGGGCTAAATCTGTATGTAGCTCTGCAGGTGAATATCACAGTGAAGTCACTAAAAGTTGCTTATTCTGGGATCACATATGGCCTGTGCTATTTCTGTCTGATGTACCTCTTCAGCTGAGTTTTCCTAGCAGAGCTAGCCAGAAAACAAGACCCTACAGAACAATACAGCTTGGAGATGAGCTGTACATAACAGTTACATATGTCTAAGTTGTCTTTCAATAGAAGATAATCAAAGGCTGTTTCCTTTGCACTTGAGTACTACAGAGTGGAAACTCCACATCGGGGAACTTTTAGCATGGTGGGGCATTCCTCTTCAAGATCCTAACTTAAAAGCTACTGCAAGGTTTGCACTAAAGCTGTTAGGCAACTTCCTGTCCAGTGCTCCTGGTTCTGTGCTTCAGTACAGGTGGACACTCACTTAGCTCACCAGTCAATGAGGTTATAGAAATGCCTTTAATATGTTGGCAACAGATTTGACAAAGGAGACAGTGTTGTTGCATCTGAAATTTGCAGAATTGCTGTATTAGGAGGTTTTTTTGTGATTTTTTTTTTTCAGTACCTTTTCCTCCATGTTTTGTCCTTATTCCATGAACTGATTTGGCCACAGCAAATGATGCCAGACTGGTTTTCAGGAAAGGGACAAAGACAAATGTGCTGCGAGGACAACTGTCGATCACTCAATTTTTCCATGCCCCAAATCAGAAAAAACATAACTGGTGTCAAAAACCATTCCTTCAGATAGGTAGATTGCAAACCACTTGGGTTATTTATAACTAAAAAACAAAGCTGAAATTATTTCTATCTTCTCTTCTTTCCCTTTATGTCAGTGCCAAAACTATTACTGGCTTCCTCCAAGACAAGTTTTCACCCCTTAAATTCAGCCAGCACCAGACAGCTAATGCAGAGCATGGAAGAGGCATGTGGTAGAATTTTTTTAAGCTAAACCTCTCCCTCAGGCTGTTGCTGTATTTTGCACCTACTGCATTGTCCAGGGTATTTTATGATGGGGACTAGCAGGGATTGCCATGTTTTTACAAGGCACTTATTAAAGGCTGCCAGTATCCAGGTTCTCCTAAATATTCTGGAAGCCAAACTCAGGCACAGCTTATTTCTATAAGTTATATTGTTTTCCTTGGACTTGACCTTTGGGCTAGAGCACTTCCATTTACCTGCACGGCCTTAGCAGTGAATCACTCCAAACCTAACTTGGCTCCTGAGGAGGTCCTTACTCCTCATGGGGAAGTAAAGTAATCAAAAGTAATTGTGGGGCATTGGGCACTTTTCCAAAGCAAGCCAAGGTTTATGAGTCTGCTGGGATATGAAATGTATTGAGTCCTTAGGCCAGTCTGCCCAAGCCAAACTTCAGATACCTCAGCACAAGTAACTGTCCAACACTTCAGATTCCTTTGTAACCCATCTTGACTCACCCTTCTGTGTGTGGTCTTCAGTGTAGTGTGGCTACTGGCAAGCTTGAACAAAGTTTCCTTCCACCTAGTCTTTTTGTTTGAAGTTGCTAGTTCACAGGAGTTAAAATTTGAAGCTTAGTGTCTGGTGCCCCCATTGGCCTTTTTGCCAGGAAACTTTTTCTTTGAGGAAGCAGCCTTGGCATGCTCACTGTGGACCATTTTGGTTCAGTCCACTCTTGCTTAGATTAATTGTTATTTAGCCCAGGGTAGCGTCAGTCCATTTTGCCACAGGAATGAGAAAACATGCATGCACGTTTTTCACAGATAAGAAGTATTCCACATTCCCCATGGGCCTTCCATATAGAATGTCTTATGGTGCTAATCTTCCCTGCACTCAGGCATTCTGCCTGACATATATAAACTTTATGGTTTCCCATGTTGTAGATCATGTAGTCTCTGCAAGTTTCCAACCCAAGCAGCCTACAAACTCAATCACTTCCTAAACTGGCTTCCTCTTGCCTGTCTTTCCTCCATCTCACGTTGCCTTCTTTCTCTCACTTCAGTAGTGGAGAAGGGTATTAACTTTCCAACATCAGTTTGCTGTGGGAAAGAATACAGTTGGTTAGAAATCAGAGCACAGGGAAAAATGAGCTTAACACATCCAAAAATAAAAAAGTTAGCTTGGTTGACATTTTTTAATACTACACAACTGGCTGTGATGAGTTGTGGTTAAGCATTAATGTGCTTCAGAGGAACCACGTCTGGTGTAGGCTGCATTGGGCTAAATTCAAAGCTATGCAGAAAACCAGCCAACCTAGGCCAGTTCTCAGGTGTCTTCTCTTCATAGTGCCTGGCAAGTGCTACAGAAGGAGTCAGGCTGGCTGCTAGAATTGTGGACACCCCATGCAATGAGATGAACACAGATAACTTCCTGGAGGTAGGTAGTACATCTGATGGCTAAGAGTTACTAATTTTAAGTCTAGACTGCAGTAATCAACAACTAATGTTGCTACCTCTTAGCAAAACCTGTATGTCAGCAGTGGGAAGCACATCAAATGACCTACACTAGGATGCTGAGACTATTTCTTTGGCCTTTAATGTTTCATAGAACTTTGCTGAGGGGGAAGGAGGCAGAGTGTACAGCTTGGGTAAAGCACTGGGAGTCAGAAGATGCAAGTTCTTAGTTCAATCATGGCACTAGCTTCTTGGCCATTGCTAGTGTTGGCTTAAGCCTGATGGTGGTAAGAGTTTCTGAAATTATGGGACAAAAGCTGACATGTTTCCAAAATAGTTTTATCATTAAGCTTTTGATAACAGATATATTCCTGTCCTATTGCATCATGATCCAGCAGAGAGAACAGCTGGCCTTTACCTCTGAAGATTTGTTTTACTGGCAGAGCTTAAAGGTCAGATTTGTATTTCATGCCATAGTAAGTCAAGGATGTCTCAGTGGAATCAGGCCATTGGAAAACCAGCAGCATTCCCAAAATTGTGAATGTTTGTATGTGTATGCATGCAAAAATCACACAAAAACCTTAGTAGATACCCATGTGTGTGGAAAGACACAAGTGTGTCCTTCTGATGACTGACTGACAATGTCCTTTTTCTTTTAATGATTAAGGAAATCAAAAAAGTTGGCAAGGATCTTGGGATTACTCCTACCATTATTCGAGATGAAGAGCTGAAAGAGAAAGGCTTTGGAGGTATATCTTGCTGAAAATCCATCTTTCTTCCTAGCAGTTAATTGGAATGTTCTGCCATCTCCGTTGTAATGTTTTACTTGCCCATTTTTGAAACAGTTTGGATGGGCATAGTATTCTAAGATGTTTTAGTGAAAATAGTCAGATTGCCCCCTACAGCCTTTCTTCTCTGTTTTGCAGGTATCTATGGAGTTGGCAAGGCAGCTCTGCACCCCCCAGCCCTAGCAGTTCTCAGTCACACTCCAGATGGTGCTACACAGACCATTGCATGGGTGGGCAAAGGTATTGTGTATGACACTGGAGGACTCAGCATTAAGGGAAAGGTACATGAACACTTGTTCTGCTCCTGCCTTTGCTTACACTGTTCATTTCTGATGGAAACAATTCAGTTAATGGCTGTAGAAAACCGAAGCATATGTATCTGAGTACATGCTTGATCTACTGTCATGATATGGACACAGTCTTATCAGGGAGAAGACCAAATAGGATTCACGGAACACTTTTCAGAGCAGTTAAATAGCTACCTGGTTTTTTGCCTTGTAAGTATTGCCCACTGCTAGAAGAAAGTTAGAAACAAATATATTTTACTTCTGATTTTAGAGGTAGATCCAAGCTCCATGTTAACTGGCCTCAGTGCAAATCTTGTAAACAATCGTTTTTCTTTCTTACAATTTAGCAGCAGAGGTTTAGTATTTTCCCGTGATAAGGCAAGATCCACCAGTAAGCAAATGCATGTGTTCTGTGTTTCTGTCATGGCTGAGCACTGTTGAGACCAGAGTTACAGAAGTACCAAGATTACTAGTTTCAGCAGGCATTGCTGTGAAATTCTCTTTAAAGAAACAAAAATAAGATTCTTATGGTTCTATTTCCACAGACTACTATGCCTGGAATGAAGCGAGACTGTGGTGGAGCAGCTGCTATTTTGGGTGCCTTCAAAGCCACTGTAAAGCAAGTAAGTAAAATGTGTTAATTGATATCATGTATCCCAGCATTGCCAAGCAGCAATCTGGCTTTTGGATATATTCCCAGATATAGGGGCCAGTCTAAGCCTGAAGTTCTGACCCGCTCTTAGTGATCTTGAGCAATTCTGCTCTTTCTGCTATTTCAGGAAAATATTTCCAGTCTTTATTGGGATCTCGAGAATTGTGAGAAATTCCTTGAGTGCTATTTTTTTTTGAGAGTGTTTCCTGAATTTCATAGTTTGTTCTGTGGACTGAATGTTTTCTAGTTCTTTGAATCACATTTGTACTTGAGTTATCCAGTGCTGATTTTGTTTAAGCTGTGGGCTTTGGGGCAGCTGTAGTCCCCTTAGTGAAGAGGAGGATGAGTTTGGGATATGAAGTCTGTCCATATTCCAAATTCAGTCCCAGTTTAATATTAACTTATGGCAGCTCTCATCAGGAGCTGCTTGTTGCTTCTGTGGTCAGAAAGTAGTAGGGGGAGATGAAAACTCAGGTATTGAAATAAGAAGAATTTTTTAAAAATGCATATTGTGCTTTAACAACACGAACTGGGGAGACGGAGCAGCCACTGCCAATAAAACTCTGCCCTCTCCGCAAATCCTGTGACCGAGTCTTGCTGACAGAGCAGCTCTTGCCTCCAAGGAGTATCCAAAGTTCAAAGAACATTTACTGCTGCAGATTAATGCATGGATCTGATGGAAGCTTTGTCCAGGGGATGATCAGTGCCAAATCCCCGTTTCTCAAGAGTTTAGCTCTGTGCCTTGGCCCTAGCAGCATGTTTGATGTGGAAAGATTGTAAACTTCACAGTTATCTGCAGAGACTTAAAATTGAAAACAGATTTGTGAGCTGCATCTTAGGCACAGCAGTTAGCTTTCCTTTACTGAGTCCTTCAGAAAGTTAGATCCCACGTTTGCAAGGGACAAGAGCTAGAACTTTCGCACTGCTTTGGGAGAGTCTGGGAAAGCTGTGGATGTGGTACCTTCTTTTGCTGCTTCAGTCCTTGTTTCTAAAGTAATTTTGAGTGAAATTATCACAATCACAGTAGGTGTGAATGTAAGTGATCTGTCATTTCATAGCCAATTAGCTGTAAGAATGAATAAACTGGCATTGATATGTTTGAACAACCAGCCTGAAAAAGCTGTCATAACTCAAAGAAATCTGTGCCTTTCTGTGGAAAAACAAAAGAATTATCTCACTGCTTAATTTTACAACCCTATGTGAGAAAACCTGTTGATGAAATCCCTGCAGAAAACATATTCAGAAAGGCAGTGGAAAGAATTTGTCGTTGTTACTGCTTCAATACCATTTTTTTAAGTGGTCTTAAGAACAGTATAAAGTTGGCAGAGGTTTAAATTAGCTATGCTCTGTCACAGAGACTGCAGTTGGAAATACACGTTGGAAAGAAAGCCCAGTGGGAAGAGAGGCAGAAGTTATTATCCATCTTCAGAAAATATCTCCCTATGTGCTGGTCAACAGTTTTACAATGTGATTTTAAAAGGCTTTGGGTAACAAAAGTAAGCAAGTGATTTTTCCTAGAAAGATGCATTTCATCCATTGTGAGCTTTCCAACAACATTTCACTGAAGTTTTTTAAATCCTTCTTGATCCTGCATGTTAACATGGTGAATCCTGCTTTTGAAGGTCTACAGACCAAATGAGTTTTAGGAAAAGGTTACTGGTACTGGAAGTGAGTTTTCACTTTTTGACAGTAGATTAACCACATCTCCCACTTGGAGGAGGAATATTTGGTGCAGTTCAGAGAGATTGTGAATAGAGTGGGCATTTCACTGCACAGATGGAAGGATGTCTCATTAACAGTGCAGTGTGCCCACTGGCTGGACAAGAAACTGCAGTTACTTTCACCTTATGGCTTCTAGATGCTGCCTGATATTTTGAAAGGTTTTGATTGATGCATTTGCCCTTTAGACTTCAGAATATGAGCTGATTCAGCAAGTCCCGATTTCTTCAGCTATGGACTTTAATCACAAGGTTAACATTAAAACTGAGCCTGGTTTCCCTTGGAATTTGGTGTTTTTAAGGCTAGCTGTTCCAGCTGAGGAGGAGCTATAATTTCATTTGTTAAATGTTGCTGTTTCTGTTCCTAGTATCCCTCCACACAATACAGCCATTGTATAAATAAACAAAATCATAATACTTTTATAATATCATCCATAGCAGTATAAACACTTGATTTTAGACCAAAGTAAACCAGAATGGAATATGCCAGAAGAGAAAGAGGCTAAAGGGGAAGGGAAAAAAAAGTCTGAAAATGCTGTGGGCTTCTCAGCAGATATGATCTATTAAAAAAAAAAATTAACACCCATCCCCCCCAAAAAACCCCACAACCCAAATCCATCTTAGCCAGGGATACTTTTTGTTTTAGATGGAAAGAGAGAGGATAGATCCTGGTAGTGTGTATCTGTGGTGCAGGGCAGATTCTGAAGGAAAGCAAACTGTCTTTGGCAGCTCGGATCTACTGGGACATGGAGCACCACCAGGTTCCAGGATTGCCACTATCAAAGTTACTTTCCAACAGAATTCTCAGACATGGAATCTGTTCACTTGGCATTGTTGTTGTTTTTTTAGGGAAAGTATAGAGTTCACAAATGACTGCGTTTTCTATTTCCATTGTTCTTCCGTAGTGTGGCAGAAAGGATGGGCAGGAGCTCAGTTTCTCAAATGGCCACAGTTGTATCTTTGTTGTTATTGGAGACTCAGTAAAAGCAGTGGAAAATACAGGGTTTGGAAAATAATCCCAAGTATTCTGACTGGCTGTATAATGTGCTCTTATAAGCCTTTGTAATTGTCCTGTTGAAAGCATCCATTGCTTGGGTCTTTTCTTTGTGGCTGTGGAAGGTGAAGACCTTACACAGTCCAGACATTGTTTGTGATCTCTGTTGTGAGTCTATGTCAGAGTTGCATTAAAATTAGATGAGTGAAGTGTCACATCTTTGGAGATGTATTCTGCTGATTTTCATACAGGGGTACTATGGTTCAGTGACTTAAGGTTCATTTTTGTTGAGCCTGGCAGTTTCGTGGTGAGCTCAGTGGGCTCTGGAGTTGTGCTTGTGGAGATCTTACTGCAGAGGACTGCAAGGAGCTGAATGTGCTCTTCCCAGGGAGTCAGGTTGACTAGACACAACCACCTCCACACTGCATACAAAGATGTTTTAATTCAGATGCCTTGCCACTGAGAGAAGATTGTACTGATCACTGCATAATTGGCATTAAAAGTACCTTCCCCATTTCTGTCACATGCATATAGGCTTTTATTCACTCTCCAGTGGGAACTTTCAAACCACTATTAGATGTTACCTTCTTGCCTGCTTTCTTACAGCTTTTGGCCTCAGTTTCAAGACACAAGACATTCCTTACAGATTTTCCATGTCATTAGTGGCATTGCTGTCGAGAAGTCATAATCCCTCATTGGTTTTAGTCCCAGTAAATTAGCATGATGTGAATCAAAAGCCATTTTTCTCCTAATTTTGTTACAGGGTTTTAAAGACAATCTTCATGCTGTTTTTTGTTTGGCTGAGAATGCAGTTGGACCATGTGCAACAAGACCTGATGACATTCATGTTCTTTACTCTGGAAAGTAAGATTGTATATATCCTTTTCACAGAAACATTGAGAAGAAACATCGTCTTTGGTTCTGTTTATCTGTTTACTATGCAGGTTGTGAAGCCATCCCTTACCAACTTCCCTTAATGTTGGTAATAGTATTTCAGGCAGCCAAAGTAGTGAGTTTGATGTGTGCTTAGAGTTCCCTTTTGGGTATGTAAATACATGTCAAAATATATATCATATATCATAAGCTGGTTTCCTTAAAGCACTCAGGTTTACCCATTTTTTTTCCAGTACAACCAGTTTTCTGCGTCCATCTGTAGTCTATATTGTCTCAGTTGCAGAGACAGGTGATCATTCTGTGACAATCTCTTCTTAAGCAGAGCATGATACCTCTTGGGATTGCAGTCATTTGTAAATCCCATGTCCACATGCTGGGCATTGTAGAGGCCCAACAGATAGTCCCAGCCATGAGGACAGTACTATTACACCCCTATCCCATGTGTGCTGTGGCTGCTTGCAGCTGGGGAATAAACAGCCATGCAAACTTGCAGAGTCAAGTAAGACAGCACAGTGTTTGAGTCTGCTTTTTCAGGAGTCTTACCTTCCAGCCTGAAGCACTGTTGGATTAAATGACCTCTCTTCTTCCTAGAACTGTGGAAATCAATAACACTGATGCAGAAGGTAGACTGATACTGGCTGATGGAGTAGCTTATGCATGCAAAGATCTTGGAGCTGATATCATTCTTGATATGGCCACTCTTACTGGAGCTCAGGTACTGATACAGAACTGCTGGCAGACAGGGAGTGTGTGTCCTTTTGCTGTCTGCACATCATGCACTTCATTGCCTCTGTCCTGCTGTCTTTGGTGGAAGGTAGATACTGTGAACTATTGTGACTGATGGTGACTTCCAAAACTTGTGCAAGAGAGTTGTCAAGAGCAGCCCCAGTAAACTAACCCTCTGTAAACATGATGGGCTGGGAATGTGTTCCATTTATAACTGCAATACTCAAGCAAGTTTTTTTTGTTCTTTATCCACCTGTTATGCTTTTGCAAACTTAAAGAGAAAATAGAATTATGATGGTGATATTGGCAGCTGATGTAAGTGATGCTGTATTTGATGTTTGCAGTTCAGTACCTTTATAATTAGCAAAACTGATTTGAATAATGATTAGAAATTTTCTTGTCCATAAAATCGCTTATATTGTAAGTCATACAAAAATTATACAAGGGCACATATTTCATGCTGTTGTTTTTTGAAATCAGTTCCTGTTTTATACAAGGCTGCATTAACAAGCAGTGATTCTTGTGGTTTAATTTTCTAGAAAACTATTGGTCTTCATATTAGGAGGATAAATGGTAGCAAGTTTCAGAAGCATGAATGTTGCGATGTTGGTGTAGACATCAGTCCTTTGAAAGCTTCCCATCACTGTCCTGCTGGAAAGCTGATGTGATGGTGGGTGGCTTCTGGGCTTGGTGTACTTGGAAGGAAGCAACTTTTCTGATGAATGAGGATATTACGTCCAACTGTTTGTGTGGTTTACAGACATTGCTGGGGTATCCTCTGTGTGTGTGTTAGATGTTTTATATATAATTCATTGCTGATTTAATTTCATTTCTAAGGATAAATAATTGTAAAGTGATATCCTTTGTTTGCTCAGTAACTATAAAGAAACATTTTTGTGGGACAGTGGTTTGAACAAATGCAGACTATTTCTCTGCAGATGGATTTTCAGAAGTTCTAAAATGATTCGGCAGTAGCTACAATCTTTTGTCTGACTTGTAACCCTACCTTCTTGTGGAGCAGTTTTGAGGCATTTTTTTGTCATGGTGGCTTTGTTAAATGGAAAGCAGCTGTTATGCTGAGAGGGAGTAGTACAGAATTATCCTACCCATCACAGTTAAGATGTCTCTTTCCTGGTTTTGTCTTTTGTCTCACCAGGGAATTGCTACAGGAAAGTATCATGCTGCTGTCCTTACCAATAACGAAGAGTGGGAAAAGGCTTGTGTTAAAGCTGGCAGGAACTGTGGAGACTTGGTCCATCCTCTTGTGTATTGCCCTGAGCTCCACTTCAGTGAATTTACCTCTGCTGTAGCTGATATGAAGAACTCTGTAGCAGTAAGATTTTTTTTTCTTTAAATCTCATGCCTTTGTATTTAGTGTTGTTTTTAAATGGGGTAGCCTGCTGCAAAGGTATCTTTGGGCTGCTTGCCCTGTGAGCATGGCCCTAAGATGAGTGCACATAAAACCAACATAGACAGTAACTGGGAATGCAGAAACCAGGAAAGTGAGGACAGAGGCCTCAGCGATTGCTGCAGCTGCTTTTGCTGTGTTTGAGTTCCAAGGTGCACTGAGTTCCAAAAACACTGCAAGAAGGAGCTTAGACAGAAGAGGAATTGAGCAGGGTCAGACTGCTACCAGGGATTAAGTCAAAGGATTTACAGTACAGCTGGTTTGCAAGACTTTGTTTTAGGGCCATTCTTTAAGCTCTGAACTAGATTTGCACAGCTGTCATTTCTGTAGGCAAGAATAAAACACTGACATTTTATTTGCCAGCAAGATCAACTGTATTTTTATGATTTCTACAGGACCGAGACAATACTCCAAGCTCCTGTGCTGGGCTCTTCATTGCTTCTCACATTGGCTTTGACTGGCCTGGAGTCTGGGTCCATATAGACATTGCTGCTCCTGTTCATGCAGTGAGTATGTTCCTATGACTTCTGATGTTTTCCTGGGCAAACAAGCTATGTAAAGAAAACTACTTGTGCCTGCAGATACTCTGAATTCTGTGCCATCAAACAAAGCGAGAGAATTAGATGGAAAAGAGTTCTTGTGAAAAGCACTGACATCATCTGTGTTGGGAACGTCTTTGTTTTGGTAGCTTCATGTGTTCATATTTTTCATTTTGGTTAGAAAATATCCTAACAGTCACTTTAATCAGCAATGTCTTTCTCACTGTAAACTTTGCCAACTTGCCTGCTTTCTGCTCATGGCAATAATCCTAGCCTTCCATTTCCACCCATGTTGTTCTAAGATGATTGACCAGAGTTGATCATTCTATCTGCTGACCTTCAGCAGAGAAAACATTTGTTTCCTCTTGGGGCTTTCCCCTCCTCCCTTTGATGGAATTTGTGTATATTTTTTCCTAAAAAACAAATCAATTTACTCCCCCCACCTCCTTTATTTTAAACCAAAGTGACTCAGGTCATACTCCAAATCCTTGCTAATGCTGGATGGAACGTTCCCTGCCCTGAACAGTGCTGGTATGAAACCACCCTCAAGTCAGTGAGCTCTGTTCTCATGTGAATCAGCCCATGTGTTGGTTCAACCTCACGAGGACAGATTCCAATAGTGGTGAGGATAGAGAAGCACAAGGTGAGCAGGTCTGCCATGGACCGCAGGTGTTTGCTGTGGCCATAAGCTATCATTGCTCATGTTGCACAAGTAGGTAGATAAAAACTATTATACAGTCTGAAGTGTGAATTGTTGTTTTTTTTTTTTTTCCTTAGGGTGAACGAGCTACTGGCTATGGTGTGGCTTTGTTGCTGTCCCTGTTTGGGGGGGCATCTGAAGACCCTTTGCTAAACATGGTGTCCCCTCTAGGGTGCAATGGAGACTCTCCCACTGAAGATATGGAGAGAGATTCCAAAAGGCGGCGCCTGGTTTAACGCACCCCAGCCCTGGGTGCTGGGGTACCTGGGTTACCTCACTTTGCACTGATTCATTCTCAAGCAATGAAAATGTCACGTCAGAAACTGCCATTTTATTTTATTTTTTACTATCATGGTAAGATTTATTACTTGTTTCTGATAAAACCAGCCTAATTTCTTGTTTGTTTGGGTTTTGTTTTGTTTTTTTTAAATTATTGGTGCACACAGTTGCTGAACAGTATCAGTGCTGCAGAGTCCAGACTCAACTAACTGTATCAGGAAGAGGGCACATCCTCCTCTGAGCTCCTCACAAAACCTAACCAAGTGCATTAATGCGTAAGAAGCTCTCTCTAGTATGAAGAAGCAACTGCAGCTATTGCTTACAAAACCTTCTGAATTACTTATTATATGTGAGGTTTTATCAGACATTTCTGCAGGCCCCGCTACATCTCAGAATACAGGATGAGGAGGAAAACCCCTCTAGACTTGGTTTATTCAGTGACAAGTTAGCTTAGCAGCAAAGGAGATGTAATGAAAAAAGGTTTATAGTTTTAATAAGGTGCTGTTTCCGCATGTTTAATGTTTTTCTGACCAGTAAAATCAGTGAGACTGGTCCAGAACATATCTCTACATAAATCTTTCACATACGAATTACAGAATGTATTCATGCTAAATGAGGAAAAAAAAATAGGGTGACTGTGATTGAGTAAAATCGGTTTACAAAGCAAAGTGGCTTTTTTGCCACTTAATAAATTTATTATTATTAAAGCAGCTTACATATCCCATGTGGTGTTTCATGGTGTTATTTACATTGCTGAGAACACTGAGTGCTCCAAAAGTTTGTGGACGACATCATTACTCTCTTCAAATTCCATTCCCAGAACTCATACATCTGAAAGCAGAGCTAACAGGGGCTTGTACTGAATGGTTTGGGCCAGTTCTGAGGAACTTCCACTGATTCACTTCATTTGTTTCATTGAACAGTAATTGTGGATGCATAAGTATTAGTTTCTATATAAGCCAGTCAGAAGGGGCTTACAGGTAATAGTTTGGCTGGGACACATATGAGAAAGTTGTCCTAATTTCTGTAATGTCGGCAGCAGAGGTGGGAACAGCGACTGAGTCTGAACAGTGCTGGTCCCTGCTGGGGTCCAGCGTCAGCCCTTGGAAACATTTCTTGGCTCAACCAGAGTGTTCAGGGTGAAAAATCCCACCCAGCACACACTTTTGGCTGCTTTGCAGATAAAGTCAAGCTGACTTGTGATGAATTACACCTTTCCCTGTGTCAGAGGTGATCTCTGGAGAGAACTGCTGCTGGGTTTTAAATGGTGTTCCAGCAGTGAGGTACACATCTGGATTAGGCATGGGTCTTTGATTAAAGACCTCATGGACAGCTTAACACAGAACAGAGAGGAAACATTTTTAATTTTGGTTTTGTGGCTATGTTTGAATCTTGGGTGGATTGTAGCCTTTCTTTTTTTTTTTAAACAGAAGTTTATTCTGTCCTATATTTGTTTCTCTCATTGTTTTTGATTCCCAGGTCTACTTGATCTTAGTTTTAGGAGATATATATATATAGATACCTATGAGTTCTGCCTTTGGTCATTCTAGACACTCGGTATAAAGCACTGTCTGGTACCAAAAACTGTTGTGGAAAATCTGTTGAAGAGTCACTGTCATTACTGACTCGCTCTGACCACTTAAGTTAATGGCAAGATGTTCCAATTTCAGTGCTCTGAAATCAAGTTCTCGATCTCCATCCTGTAGAAACACTCTCCAAATTAATAAATTCTGATCTTGAAATACAGTGTTTTGCCTAAAAGAGGCAAACTTTTACATAAAAAGTAGCCTGTGGTTTCATGGCATAAGGCTAAATTCTAATGTTACTCACTGAATACAGCAAGCCCAGATAAAACATGAGACTCATGACTAATGATCATAGTATTCAATTTTACTGTGTCTCAAAGCATCTAATTCTGCTGAATTTAATTTGGGAGGTACTTAATAGAATCCATCTTTAAAAAGAAATGTCTAATAGTAAAGAAATCTAACACAAAATACCTGAAAAAAATGGGATAAATATTTAGGAACCATCTTGAGTTTGCTGAAGCAGAGTAAAATAAATCAATCCAACACCCAACAGTGGAAAGGTCCGATGTGCACCTGAAGAAGCTGTTCCAGAGACAGAAAACAAAAAACAAGGCGCTTTTTTGTGTGTGTGTGAACCACATTTACCAAATACAATACTTCAGTATTTCAGAGAGCTTGCACTGGGGTCATTCCTGTTAAACTCGCAGTGTCTCTTAACCCTCTAATGAGTATAACGTCAGTTCTCCAAGACCTTCCACCTCCTGGATTTACTGACCTTCTTTCAGGCAATAGGCAATTTTAACTTCTGCTGCAGCCCAGAAGGATCTTGGTACAAGACCCGTAGGCAAGTACAAAAGGGGAGATCCCAGAACTGCCTCAGAAGTAGCAGACAGTCCGTGTGGGGTTTGTGCCCAACACACCAAAGCACCGGCCCCGCTCAGCTCCCCTCACTGCGGGTGAGGAGGGCACAGACCAACCGGAAACAAAGGACGAGGAGGGCTCTTCACCGACTGAGGTGACGGGCAAAACAGACTCAACCTGGGGGAAAATTATTATTAGACACTAATCCAGTGCACACAGGACGCAGAGAACACAAAGAGCGACGTTCACACACGTTACCCACCCGTCCCTTCTTCCCGCCCAAAACTTCCTTTCCGGGGCACGGGGGGGGTTCGGAGCCGCTCGGGCGCGGGGGTCTCCCGCAGCTGCATCACCGAGTCCCCAGGCCCGGTTCCCCCTCCTGGCGCCTTCGAGGACGGTCCCGCCGCGTCCCTCCAGCAGCGCCGCCGCCATCTTGGCGTTGGTTGGAGGGGAACTTGTGCTCGGGCACCTTCTTCCTCATAAACTGCCGGGGTCTTCACCCCAGTACTGCCTTTCAGCCCTCCAGCTCAGCTGCTGTTTCTCTTCAGTGCTCATTCTGCTCAGGCTTTGTGTAAGTTCTTTCGTATGTTAATGGCAGAGGCGCGTCTGTTGTCTCTGTAACGGCTCCTTGGCTGGGTTTGGGGCAGGGGAAGCCTCAGCTTCTTACCGGAGCCACCTCTGGAATCCTTCCCCAGTATCAAAAATCCCGCCAAACCAAACCAGGACACTCAAATGAGTACATGGGATAGTTACCAAAGAGAAGTATGCCTGCATTGAGGAGCACGGCTGGAATTCGGTCTCTGCAGCTGCCACGCACTTGTAACCCCTGAGGTGAGCGCCAGTGCGTTCTTACTGCTGTGAGTGCTGTTCTTACTGCTTCTCTTGACTGACATGATCGCTCCACGATTACAAACACATTTAACTTTACAGTGCCTTATGTGTCACCAAGCAGCATGGTTATTCACAGGAGACAGTTCCAGACACCTCAGTGGATTTAGGTGACTACACTCGAAGTATCCTCTGGCACCACTTAAGCAACTTCCAACGGGAACACTCCAACACTGGGCAGCGTGCATCTGAGTGTTTTGTAGAACTGCTGGGGCCTGGCTCCTCCGTGCTGAGGGGTACCCTGCACTAGCCCTTCAGAGACAACAAAACAGCACAGGGCTCAGTGGGTCACTGAAGATGACCTCAGTATCTAAGCAGAACACTGAAACTTGGAGACTCCCAAGCCCTGGGTTCACAGATGTCCCCCCACTCCTCAGCTGCCTTCTGAGCAACACCAGGAGATGGAGCAGGATCACAACGTACCTGAACACCAGGCTCCAGAAGCAGCATAAAGCCAGGGAGGTGCCTCTTAAATTGTTTTGCAGGCATTAGTGCTTAAATCATTACAGCTGTGGGCCCAGTGCTTTTAAGATCAGCTGACAGTAACACACAAACTTCCCAGGATGCTTCCTTTTCATTTTCTCCTTGGAGCTGAGGTGTTATTACTGAAGGATGGTCAAGCAGTGGAAGCTGATACAGGCAGCTGGTGAGTTAGAAAGCTCCTTTGCCATGACTATCTAGTTCTGGGGGCTGGTGGTTCACAGCAAAACAGTACTGCTCTTTATCTTGGTGATAGCAGTGTCCTCTGGGCAGTTTGCTAGGTAGACTTGGGAGGGTAGGACAAGAGTGATCTGCTGGTTTGAATGTTAAAGGGGAGTTAGTGTTTCATGGGTTGTCAAAGACCGATGTGCTTAGTCAGGGAGGAACCTATCTGTGATGTCAACTTGTAATCCTTACCACAGGAAAGGCCTTCTCTGGCTTTCCTGTGTTTTGCCTGGAGCAAATTAAGCCAGCAGTGTATTTTATCACTGCTCAATGCTGTCTGAGCTGGGGGCATGTGCTTCACCAGAGTTTTATCAAAGGTTCAGTCCCTAGAGATAGATGGACTTGTGCAAAGCCAACAAAACCTGTGATGTTGGGAGACAAAGAGAAACTGAGGTGGGACTTGCTGTGTTTGTGTTCCTTGTTCTCTGTTACCTTTCTTCTGTAATTTTCCTCCCTGCTGCTTCATATGTGGGACTGAACAGCCTTCAGTGAACATTAAGGTGATATGTTAAAGTCTCTCAGCTATTGAGTGTTGAATTTGTGTATCACACTGGGGTCATAACTTCTGTGTATGGAGTCCAGAGATGTGCAGGGGCTGGTTGGTCACCCCTGTCATGGACTGAAGAAATGGCATAAGGAGAAATGGGGGCTGCATTCTGCATTTCACAATCATTTTCCTCTCCTGTCCTGTAGGCTGGGGATATTTCTGCAAAGAAAGATGTTAGTTAATTTGCCACAGCTGTTTCAAAAGTTTTTGGGAAAGGGGATTGCACAACAGGAGTCACTTACCTTTTCGGATTCTCTTCAGCCTTGCTGATGAAAATGTTAGCATATAAATCATATAAACACAGACCCAGCTAGAGAAACTGAGGGTTGTATTAGTCCAAACCCATTTTGGTTCCCTTTGACTGTGTTGAACTTTATCTGTATCTTCTGGTTTGAATTCTGCTGAGCAGCTGAGACATGCTGGGCATCTGGGGGTGGAGGGATTGTGGGCACTTCCTGCATTTTTTGAGTACAGTATCAGAATGGAAGGCATGGAAATACCATCCTGATTGTAATTTGGACAAAATTTTGGACCCTTGTTTAAAAAAAATAAATTAGTCCTTGGGGCATCAAAATAAGCAGCTGTATTCCAAGACTGTTCTAGGTGAGTCAGGGCAGCTCTTTGACTTCCAGTACCTGTGCAAAAACATATTATTAATTATGTTTGCTACAGCAGGGCTCAGGACCTGCTAGAAAAGCATCCATATAAGAAAAGGGTCCTTTTATACTTGCACTGCATCAGAAGCTGCACAGTAACGGTAAATGATCAAATTGATTTGTTGTCCATTTTCATGGGTAAGGGGTGGAATCAGTACCTCTCATTCCTTGATCCCCATTGTGGTTTGTGTCCTGGAAATTCTGTTGCCATGAT